GGGGTGCTTTTTTCTTTTTGCTCGTTTGACAGTAACACGCAGAGACGTGGACCCTTCCCTCAAGCTGTCTCCTTACCAAAAAGGCACCTTAACTTTCAGCAAAACAAATAGCCTATTCTCCACACTTGACCTCATCCAGAACACCTGCTTTAATATTTCAATAATAGGCCAGAGAGTGCAGAGTGAAATTTAAAGTGGAGGTAAATAAAAGTGCTGAAATATTGAAGGTGACGGTGGTGTGTGGGTGGGTGGAGTGAAGTCTGAAGGCAGGATGAACTGCTGAGATGAGCCTCATATAGATTTGACCATGTTGGAAAACATAGCGGCTGTGAGTCAGAAAAATATTAGACTTTTCTAACTTTTACGACCCACAGCGGTTTGGAAAGTTAGTGGAACTGATGCGCAGATATGAGTGAACTTCTATGGTAAACAATGTAGCGCTGGCCTGGCATTTCAAGACAACCTTAGTTTGAAGAAAGTGTGAAGCCCGTGTTCTGTGAATGTTTGTTTGAGGAAGTGACTGCTTTGAAAAGGTGACCTCTTGTTTTTCACATCCTACAAAGAGGACATTACAGTGGACCGCTGTCTAAACACTAAGAAGGTCTGTGTGAATTCACTGCATTCCTCCTTCAAGGGCGTGGAGTTTGAATGATTTTCTCCTGTACGAGCAATGAAAAGAGCTTTTGACCCGCATCTTATAAGAAGCATATGGGGCACAGCTGCAGCTCTTCTTAAGGCAGACACTTTATTTTCTTCTCAAAAGACAGAGGTCACTGGGTCACGGCGTGAAGGCCCACAGCATTTCCAGTCTTTTCTATCTATAGTCTTTGAGCTGAATCAAAAGACACAAACTGAAGTCAAAGGTAAACACAAGCACCTGTGTGTAGCAGCTACCACTTCACTCCACAGTGAGAAAAAGTTTGTCTATACAGTATTGTGCAAAAGTAGGACACCGCTCTTCATTTATTATTATTATTATTATTATTTAAAACAGATATTAGATTGCATATGAAATCAAGTATACTCTTAAATAAGCTTGCTACTGGGTAGCAGCTATCAAATATATTTTGATCTGGAATAGCTGACTGATTAATCAGACTTTATTTTTTCCTGAATGTCCTCAAATATTATATACAATGCCATTGTCTTCTACTGTCTGCCGTCAGAGCTGTGCATGCTCTCGTACATTCATTTAGTTTTACTAAACTTTAAGCTGGAGCTAGACCTTTAACATTGATCTCAGTGATTTTTGAGTTAGAAACTTGAGCAGTTTCATATCTGATGCCACTCTGCAGCAGTCTACTGACCAAAAACCACACTTGATAGTTTTGTAAAACAGGTTAATGTCCTAAGGGTGCTCTTTGCCTGCTTTATGGCTGTTAGTTGTAATGCTAGTAGTTAGCATTTTCAGTTCGCCAATCATCAATATAAAGACCAAAATGAAGAAAAAGAAGTTCAATTTGTCTGATGGCATCATGACGTAGCCTGGAAGTAAAAATTAAGAGTAATGTCTTTGGAGGTGAAACAAAGAGCTAAAATCAGAGTGAACATTGACGTGGCCTATGCTAGTTTGAGGAAGCTAATGGAAGATACGTAATCACTGGCTGATGGTGACCTGGCTTTGTTGTTACTGGCCTTGTAAGTAACAATATTTTGTCTAGCGGTGTGGATCTTTTACTTAGTGGTTTATTTTAGTGTTAGTTGGCTCTTGGCAAACGGCCTGTATTTGATATACAGGGAGGGCCATTTATACACCTTAATAAAATGGGAATGGTTGGTAATATTAATGTCCTGTTTGTGTCACATTAGTATATGTGAGGGGGCAAACTTTTCAAGATGGGTGATGACCATGGTGGCCATTTTGATCTTGGATCCAACTTTGGATTTTTCAATAGGAAGAGGGTCAAAGTGAAAAGTTTGCCCCCTCACATATACTAATGTGACACAAACAAGACGTTAATATAACCAACCATTCCCATTTTATTAACGTGTATCCACATAAATGGCCCACCCTTTAGAAGAAGAAGAAGACAATCTTTTTTATAGAGCCTCTCAAGATAAAAAGGCACTTCACAAAAACAAAAACAAAAGTATAAAACAATTTCAAAAATGATTAAAAATATGTTTCAAAGGAGGAAAGAAAAAAATGTAAGGAAAGGGAGAGAGAAAATTAATAGGAAGGAGGGAAATCAGTGGATCCCAGGAGAGGCGGAATAAGAACAGAATAGGGAGAGGGTGGTGACAAAGGTCACGCCAAAGCCAGCTTGAACAGGTGAGTTTTCAGCTGCTTTTTAAAGGAGACCACTGAGTCCACTGATTTCAGGCTCAGGAGGAGACAGGTCCAGAGTCTGGGGGCCACAGCAGCAAATGATCTGTCAGCTTTGGTCTTTAGCCTGGTGAGCTACACAACCAGTAGGCTTTGGTCACTGGACCTCAGGGACCTGCTGGGGGTGTAGGGACTAAGAAGATCACCAACGTATGATGGTGTTTGTCCATGTAAGGCCCTAAAAACCAGAACCAGGATCTTGAAATGAACCCTGAAGTTAACCGGCAGCCAGTGAAGCTGGAGGAGAAGTGGGGCGATGTGGGCAGCACGCAGATAGTGTGGGGGACGGGGGGATCTGTCCCCCCAGATTCAGATCGACCCTGATTCGTCCCCCCCAACTAAGGCCAGAAAGAAAACAAAATCGGAGGTTAAGCGCTTGAAGCTCCTTTTTCCAATTACATTGAATGCAGCATGCCGTAAACAAACACAGACTCCAGAGGCACCAAAGTGGTTGCTGCTAGGACGCAGGACGAAGCGAAAAAGGCAAGCAACGATTACGGCGTATTTAAAAAAGACCAACAGTGTAAGTAGGCGGGTCCGATCTGTCTGTTTATGCATGTTGGTTCTAGATTCAGTACATTGTTGTTGACAGTGTTGGGACTTACTCGTTATAAGTGCCAAAGCCTCATTGCTGACTTTAACAAGTCTCATCCACAAATATGATCCCTCATGAAGTTACCACTTTACACCAGAAGATAGTGGAGATGTGGAACCTTCAGGCTGAGCAAAGTTTGGGAGTTTTTAGAGCTTGAAAAATGCCTCCCGCCAAGAGGCTCCCAGTCAGGGAGAGGAGGAGACGCACGCAGCATGAAGAGCGCAAATATTAGATAAAACGTATAATTTCCGGCAGGTCTGGTCTTTTTTGACTGATCACTTTGTCTGGTAATGACTGACTCTGATTATGAAGCAGAATATTGACTCTGATGAAGAAATTCACTCATCCAGCCGGGAAGGTTGATGCTGCTGCAGCATCAGACAGCTGGTGCTACACGAGAGGTGAGTGGAGTTTACAAGCTCCAAACGTCGGGTTTGATGTTGGTTTAACCTTCTCTGGGACGTGATGGATGTAGAAATTATGGTAAAACACCGCAAACGTGATAGACGTAGCAACAATGTAAAAAAAAAAAAGCTGTAAAAAAGAGGCAGATGCCGATGCGTTAATATGGAAGTCAAGAGATTTATATATTTTTATATAAATAAAAACTTTCCAAATATAATGAAAATTTCTAAATATCGTAAGAATACGAAGGAACATCTGTTGGTCAGGCTGAAAAGTTTGGGAACTACTGCTCTAAGTGATAAGTGAATATTGTTTCTTATTATATTTTATGTGCAGTTTTTTAGGGCTTTTATGTTTTCTGTAAAGATTGGTATGCTGAAAATCATTTAATGTTTTGCATAAAGCATGAGGTTTTGGTTAGTAATTGATTGGGAGAATAACAAATGACTGAATTAAATAGTGGAGCGCCTCTGTCAGTGCGCCCCAGGGCAGCTGTGGCTACATCGTAGCTTATCACCATCAGTGTGTGAATGTGGGTGAATGGATGAATGATACACTGTAGTGTAAAGTGCTTTGGAGTCCTTACTCTGAGAGGCGCTATACAAGTGCGGATCATTTATCATTTATGGTGTTGATCAGGCAGAGCTTTGTTGCCAGCGTTCCACTGCATAATGGCTTCAAACACGTATATAAAAGTGTTAGTTTTTACGTAAACCATTGGATGAAATTACACAAACTGACTGAGCTCTAGTTAAGGTGCTTGCAATAGTTTGTGTGTGTGTGTGTGTGTGTGTGTGTGTGTGTGTGTGTGTGTGTGCATGTGTTTGGGGGAGGGTACATTGGAACTTTGTCCCCCCCCAGTTTGAAAATCCTATCTGCTCCCCTGGATGTGGGTGTGCTTGGAGGACTTGGTCACAAGCCGAGCACAGGCATTCTGGACCACCTGTAGACGGTTCAGGGAGGTTCTGCTCAGACACGTGAAAAGAGAGTTACAGTAGTCTAAGCGTGAGCAGATGAAGGTGTGGAGAACTGTCTCAAGTTCAGAGCGGGACAGAATGGGACTCAGCTAAACAATGATCCTGAGATGGAAGAAGGAAGAGCGAACAAGAGAACTGACATGAGAATACAGAGTGAGAGCTGGGTCAAAGGTCACACCAAGATTTCTGACAGAGGGTTTGGTGCGAGAAGAAAGCTGACTAACAGAGTCTCTGACTTTGGGAACCAGCTTGTCTGGAGCACAGATGAGGATCTCAGTCTGATCTTCATTCAGCTGTAGAAAGTTCCCAGTCATCCAGGTTTTGATAGAGTCTAAGCAGGAGTGTAGCAGCTTAGACATCTCATGCGGTTTAAAGATGTACAGTTGCATGTCATCTACATAAAGATGGTAGAGATTTCTTTGAAGGAGCTCAGGATGTGCGGAAGAGGAAGCAGATAGAGGAGGAAGAGTAGGGTCCCCAGCACTGAGCCTATAATGCGCTTTGTAGAATCCTGTAACCCCCCAAGGTGCTTTACAGCACATTCAGTCATTCACCCATTCACACTATTCACACTCTGGTGGCAATGAGCTACACTGTAGCCACAACTACCCTGGGGCACACTGACAGAGGTGAGTCTGCCGTACACAGGCGGCACCGGTCCCTCCGACCACCACCAGCACCACCTCTTGTTAAGTGCATGTCAAGTGTGCCTCAGAGTCTTACCCCACCCACGTATCAATTTTGAAAACTGCAACATTAGTAGGCGTTGCCTGGAGGACCGAGAGGGCGGAGCCGCGGCAGTGACGAAGAGACGGCTAACTAGACGAAGCTAGCTCCCTTCACTCTGAGCAGTCATTAGAAGTGGAGGACGTTTCTCCCCCTCCTTACCCAGACACTCGAGAAGAAAGGGACCAAGTCTATTTGGAGGAGACAAGCGGACATGAGCCTTATTGTTTTGAGCTTGTGAGTTGCCTGAAATTACTGGAACCGACCCAACAGACCCATCTCTGAACGTAAGTAGCCGTTAGCCATAGCATTGGATTAGCTGCAGGGTTTGTCTCCATGGCCCTAAAAAGCTAGTATTCAGCATGTTTTAGAGATTTATCTGCATCAACACACCTGGTTTTAATCAGCAACAAACAGCTGAGCTGCTTAACAGCTTATCTAACCTGTTAAAGCAGGAAAATCCACTGAAACGTGCTGGATAGCAGCTCTCCAGGAGATCTGGGCTCAAGCTACAGTCTGCTGCATAAAGTTATGAAAATATCCCATGAGAAAATTATTCTGTAATGTGTTCAGCCCATTAAAACTGCCCTGATTTCCTTATTTATTTACTGATGCTAGCTGCTCTTGGTTGCAGGTGATCCTCTGGTGTCTGCAGCTGATCTCCTGCTGATGTCGTCGGGATCAGGAGCTTCCAGAAGAATGTGCCTTTCAATGACTCTTTCCCCCTTATTTGTTATATTAATTAAATAAATCTCAATTTATATATTTCCTGTTTTTGTTCATGTCCATAAATACTTAAACATGCTTGAAATTAAAACGAGCTTTTAACAGTGAGGTGCTAGTTTAATTCATCACAATAGAGCTAGTTAAACATGCAACAATGTGATAATCAATGTAATTTATAAATATCCATTAAAATATCAAAACTGGAATCAAAATGAGATATTCGGCAGCACAAAAAACTTGTCAAACACAATATTATAATAATTGTAGGCAGACAGGAGACAGAGCTGATGGAGGTTCTCAGTCATCGAAGGATGGCTGAAGGCTTTCCAGGAACAGGAGATGTGGTGTTGTCTCTTCTCTCTCTATTCTGCCAGATGAGCTGGTAGGTTACAGGTGTGTGAGGACATCCTCATGCTGTCATAACCAGATAACATGAGTTATCAGGTGATCAGCCAGGCTAATGATGAGATGCAGAAAGAAAACAAATCATGCAGAAAGAAAACAAATCCAGGACAGTGTACAGTAATAAAAATAATATGTGGTGTTGCTTACCTTATGTACTCTTATAGAGTTATTAACGTGTGCCTGCCTCATGGTGTAGAGTCCATATTTTGCTGAGTGTCCTGCAGTAATGCAGGTTATTAGTTAATTTACTTTTGATAGCAAAAACAAAATATTTAAAAGTTATTTACCAGGTGAATCAGCTCACACGTCACCACCTGGTGGTGACCACCAAGTGTCACAGGGCCAGAATCAGTAGCCTCCTTCATGATGTAATCACATACTTATTTAATTGTTAATATCTTAAATTCAGAAATGTTTTAATTTTTTTTTACCTTGAACAGTTCACTGAGCGTGCACTGTCACTGAGGTGGAAGCTGGAATCAACAGCAGACACCTCACACCGTGGTCTTTTCAGGGGGTGTGGATGCTCTGGGACCTTCTGGAAGATGAATTTCTGTCATGGTCCCTGTGTCACAAGACACTGAGGCTGTGAGCTCTATAAAAACAAAGAAGCAGCACATTTATAAATGTTTAAAAGAGCATAAAATCACTTGTAACAATCTGTAAAACAAATTAAAACTAGAAGGTAATAAAATGTTTACATAGAAGATTATTAAAAATAATTCACCTTTGCTACGGGTAAGGCTTCACGTCAGCCTGGACAAGTGCATTCTTGCAGATTACTAAATCAGTCTGACAGCCAGTGTCTTGGGTAGATTTAGCCTGAAAAAAAATAGAAGCACATTGATGTTTATAAAGTCAGATAAAATACAAAAAAAAATGTCCCATATAGGCGCTTTATAACATTCCTAGTGTGTGATGTTATTATAAAGTAAAAGTCAGTCACATATGATGTGGAGACCCTGAAATGCGACCTCCTGAACAGAATTCCTCACGGAACCGGGTCACGCTGTGCTAGATTTCACGCTGTAATGCTGTCTGTCAACTAGTGCTGCGTCAGTTTAGAGTCACTGTTGCTGAATTACCGACTGACACAAAAACAACCCGAATTTTCTCTGAGCCTGACAGTCATGTGGACCGTTTTGTCGGCCAGGGCTTCGAGATATGTTCCGATTCGCCGCTGATTCTAACCTTACATCCCGTTCCACATTTTGTGAACTTGACAAATCAGCCCGAAGGCAGTGCAGACTGATATTAGCTAAATGGAGTGAACCACGTCTCTCAAACTTTGCATTTAGGTAGGAAATTGTCTTTAGAAGATGTTAAAACTTTTATTTAGCTTACTCACCTCAGACTGTAGCCCGTCATGGTGGGGGAGCAGAGTCGGTGGTCTGTATCTAAATCGCGGAAGAGCCACGGTGGGCACAACCTCCCTCTTGGAACGGAGACGTGCAGAATCGCGGGTAAAATGCTGGTTGCAAACTACAGCACCAGGCGGGAGCTGAATCTTTTCCAGACACGCAACCACTGGCGCCTAATTTCTAAGTCCAGCGGAAAGGAGTGCAACCCGACAGAGCTCCGCAACCATACTACACTACACCATCTCACCATGCTAACACGATATGGAGCACTAAACCCGAACTACTTTCCTAATTACACTAACAGCCAAACAGTAACTAAACTACAATATCCAACAGCCAAGCTAACACTAAATAAGTATGTATAACACTAAAAGCTATGCTAAAGACTAGGATATGCTAATGCTATATGCTAATGCTGAACTACGGCTAGCCTCCTACACTCGCTTGCAAATCCAACTCCCAACTCGCCACAAGGCGTGGCCGAGACTCCCGATGCTTTTATAACGTTGACACAGAGCTGCTACGTAGTACTCTACTGGATTACGTAGTATCTTACTCTTTAGCCATTGGCTAAAATTTATTCAAAATGAGTCAAATTCTATGTTTTAAGCTGAAGGTGGAGCTATACTGTGGTATTTAGGCAGAATTTTTAATTTTTTAAGAAAATGCACCAAAATGCTAAAATAATGAATACACACATTTAAAACACTATTAGACACTCATTTATACAGTTCATCAGCAAAAAAAAGTTAATTTAGACGTTACTTGCTCTTTAACTTCATTTTAGGATTTGACCGTGGTCGTATGTGAATCCAGAGCCATAGCCATGTTCAGCTAAGCTGCCAGAATTGGTTTCTCAGCATGTGTTGTTGAGTGCAGAAAACCTGTTGAACACAGCCACAGGAAGGGGCAGAGAGCCTGAGAGAGGAGGAGGTTCATAGACCGATACAGGATAACTAGCTGCCCTAGCCATGCTAAGCTAACCTAGCAATACCAGAAAACCAGTGTAATGCCCAATGAATTCCGAAAACCTAAAGAACATCAGAGGAAAATAAGTGTTCTAATGTGCTTGTGTGATAGAATAACTCAGAAATGCTTCCAACAAAGAAAATCGATCAATTCAAGCTAGCGGGAGCACTGAATAGTTTACACAACAGTGAATAACAGGAAGTGACGCGTTACGCCTAACCAATGCAGTGATGTCATCTCCACTCTGACGCTTGAATATTATCCAAAAATTAAGTATGATGGTACAGTAAAAGAAGATGGTTCAGTTGTTTCAATATATGAATCACAAAACTGCAGACCTTATTGTTTATGCTAAAGCAGTTCTTCAGTAATTCTTTGGAAGCATGCATATAATTTTAAAGTGTGTCTGTTTTGCTTTATGAGCATTTGGAAATGATAGGAATTTAGTTCTCACCTTAGTAATAAAGTCGTTATCTGATATGTAAATATATTCTTGGTAAGAAAAATCAATTCAGGCAGAAGATCATTGTGCACTTGTAAAAAAATCCATGTAAGTAGGATTGAAATTAAATTAGATGCAAAAATTCTAATTAACTAGATTCCCCTTATTATCCATTAGATGAGTCATCAACCAGTTATCTCTTTTAACCAAATCCTTTAAAAATAAGCATTTTATTTTGGTGGAGCACATATTGGTTGGTCTAGATTATTGTTGAATGTGGTGAGAAATGCATGTATGTCAATTTCCAGTACATAAATGGTAAATGGTAAATGGCCTGTATTTGATATAGCGCCTTCTAGAGTCCTGGAACCCCTCAAGGCACTTTACAACACAATCGGTCATTCACACACACATTCACACACTGGTGGGGATGAGCTACAATGTAGCCACAGCTTCCCTGGGGTGCACTGACAGAGGTGAGGCTGCCGAGCACTGGCGCCACCGGTCCCTCCGACCACCACCAGCAGGCAACGTGGGTTAAGTGTCTTGCCCAAGGACACAACGACAGTGACAGACTGAGCGGGGCTCGGACCTGCAACCTTCCGATTATGGGGCGAGCACTTAACTCCTGTGCCACCGTCGCCCCCTTGAGAGATTGAGATGACATGTAAACAGGTGTAGTCTGGCCAAAATTTCATGAGTCTCTTAAAATTTATTCTCTGTGGGTTGCCGTCTTGGAATCATGTAAAACTGGTTTATGATAAAGTAAAGTACAATTCAGAAATGTCTGTTTTTTTCTGACATCCAATTATTAATGCTTCCCTCTGACAGGATTTGAAGAATACCAGATGAACAAGACGATCACAAATGAACCGCAACAACCTTCCATATCACAATTTCTGGACAGCCGTGCTGGTCGCTACAGCTCAACTCATCCTTAGCAGAAAGCCATCACAAACGCATTATTATACTACTTGATTATTGGTTTCAACTTTCCCCTCTGTAATGTGGAAAACAAGAGCTTTCGCCACTTTCTATCAGTACCTGACAACAAATACAGCCCAGTATGTCGCAGGACAATGGCATCAAAAATAGAGAACCTTGCTGCAGAGAAACGTTTAATGCTAAAAACTCAGTTGAGCCAGGTAGACCATGTTTCAGTCACTTTGGGTGTTTGGTCCGACCAAAAGATGCGGGGCTTTCTTGGTGTCACTGTTGACTGGATCCAAAAGGAGATAGAGAGGATACAGCTAAACTCAAAACTGTTGCACTTTGACCGCTTCAAAGGCTCACACACAGGTGAAATAATCTGTGAGAAATTCGAAACTATATGTGATGAATATATGTGATGAAGAACAAAATAGATTATATGATAATGCTGCCAATATGCGGAAAGCATTCACCATATGCTTCCCCACCGGGCAAGGTGAGGAACGTGATGAGGATGGGATCATCTTGACGACCCAAAGCTCTGGCATGGCTTAACCTTTGAAGACCAGGAAACAGTGGCTGCTTCAATGGTAAAAACACAACGCTTGCAATGTTTTGCACACACACTGCAGCTGGTGGTGAGAGATGGCTTGACAGAGACCAAAGTGGCATCTCCTTCTCTTTCAAAGTTATCTAAGCTCAGCTCACTACTGCACACAAGCACAACATTCAGAGATGTGTTTGAAGCTGAATTTGGTGAAGATAAAGGCATCCCTGCTGCAGTAATAACAAGATGGAATTCAACACTGAGACAAGTGAAGGCAGACCTCCAATGTGTTGTTGTCATCTTCCTCCGCTTATCCAGGTCCGGGTCGCGGGGGCAGCATCCCAACTAGGGAGCTCCAGACCGTCCTCTCCCCAGCCACCTCCACCAGTTCCTCCGGCACGACCCCAAGGCGTTCCTGGACCAGATTGGAGATGTAACCTCTCCAACGTGTCCTGGGTCGACCCGGGGGCCTCCTGCCAGCAGGAAATGCCCGAAACACCTCCCCAGGGAGGCGTCCATAAGGCATCCTGACCAGATGCCCAAACCACCTCAACTGACTCCTTTCGATCCGGAGGAGCAGCGGTTCTACTCCGAGTCCCTCCCAAATGTCCGAGCTTCTCACCCTATCTCTAAGGCTGAGCCTGGCCACCCTACGGAGGAAACCAATTTCGGCTGCTTGTGTTCGCGATATCGTTCTTTCGGTCATTACCCAAAGCTCATGACCATAGGTGAGGATTGGGACATATATTGACATATAAATCGAGAGCCTGGCTTTCTGGCTCAGCTCTCTCTTCATCACGACAGATGGGCTCAGCGTCCGCATCACTGCAGACGCCAAACCAATCCGCCTGTTGATCTCCCGATCCCTCCTACCCTCACTTGTGAACAAGACCCTGAGATACTTAAACTCCTCCACTTGAGGTAGGACCTCTCTCCCGACCCGGAGTTGGCAAGCCACCCTTTTCCGGTCAAGAACCATTGTCTCAGATTTGGAAGTGCTGATCCTCATCCCAGCCGCTTCACACTCGGCCACGATCCTACCCAGCAAGAGCTGAAGGTCAGAGCTGGATGAAGCTGGGAGGACCACATCATCCTCAAAAAGCAGAGATCAGATTCTCCTGCCACCAAACTCGACACACTCCACACCACGGCTGCACCTAGAAATTCTTTCCATAAAGTTTATGAACAGAACTGGTGACAAAGAGCAGCCCTGGCGGAGTCCTGCCCTCACCGGGAACAGGTCCGACTTACTACCAGCTATGCGGACCAAACTCACGCTCCTCTGGTAAAGGGACTGAATGGCCCTGAGCAAAAGGCCACCCACCCCATACTCCTGGAGTGTCCCCCACAGGGTGCCCCTGAGGACACGGTCATAAGCCTTCTCCAAATCCACAAAACACATGTGGATTGGTTGGGCAAACTCCCATGCCCCCTCCATCACCCTTGCAAGGGTATAGAGCTGGTCCACAATTCCACGGCCAGGACGAAAACCACATTGCTCCTCCTCAATCTGAGATTCAACTATCGATCGGACCCTCCACCCTAGTACCTTGGAGTAGACCTTTCCAGGGAGGCTGAGGAGTGTGATCCCCCTATAGTTGGAACGCACCCTCCGGTCATCCTTCTTAAAGATGGGGACCACCACCCCGGTCTGCCACTCCACAGGAACTGCCCCCGATGACCACGCAATGTTGCAGAGAGACATGTCAACCATGACAGCCCTACAACATCCATAGCCTTGAGATACCCAGGACGAATCTCATCCACCCCCGGGGCTCCGCCGCTGTGTAGTTGTTTGACTACCTCAGCAACTTCTGCCCCAGAGATTGGAGAGTCCATCCCCAGGTCTCCCTGCTCTGGCTCCTCCTTGGAATGCGCATAGGTGGGATTGAGGAGTTCCTCAAAGTATTCCTTCCACCACCTGACTATAGCCCCAGTTGACTTCAGCAGCTCCCCATCCAGCTGTAAACAGTGTGAGCGAGTTGCTGCCTCCCTCTCCTGAGGCGCCGCACAGTTTCCAGAACCTCTTTGGCGCCGATCAATAGTCTTTCTCCATGGCCTCACAAAACTCCTCCCATGCCCGAGATTTTGCCTCGGCAGCTGCCCCTGCTGCACCCCGCTTGGCTATCTGGTACCCTTCTGCTGCCTCCGGAGACCCACAGACCAGCCATGCCCTATAGGCCTGTTTCTTCAGCCTGGCAGCTCCCCGAACCTCTGGCGCCCACCAGCGGATACGGAGGCTGCCATCACGACTAGCACCGGTCACCTTGCGACCACAGCTAGCAGCAGCCGCCTCAACAATCGCAGAGTGGAAAAAGGCCCACTCGGAGTCGATGTCCCTCACTGCTCTCTGGATGCGGTCAAAGCTTTGCCAGAGGTGGGAGTTGATGACCGTCTTGACAGGTTTTTCCGCCAAGCGTTCCCAGCAAACCCTCACTATGTGTTTGGGTCTGCCAGGTCTACGCGGCATCTTCCCCTGCCATCTGATCAAACTCACCACAAGGTGGTGATCAGTTGACAGCTCCGCTCCTCTCTTCACTCAGGTGTCCAAAACATACGGCCGCAGGCCAGATGATACGACTACAAAGTCTATCATTGAACTGCGACCTAGGCTGCCCTGGTACCAAGTGTACCGATGGGCATCCTTATGTTCGAACATGGTGTTCGTTATGGCCAAACTGTGGCTTGCACAGAAGTCCAATAACGAAACACCACTCGAGTTCAGATCAGGCGGGCCGTTCCTCCCAATCACACCCCTCCAGGTCAAGCTGTCATTGCCCACGTGAGCATTGAAGTCCCCCAGCAGGACAATGGAGTCCTCTGATGGAGCACTATACAGCACTCCTCCCAGGGACTCCAAAAAGGGTGGGTAATCTGAACTGA